AAATCTCCTCATGTCCAGTCACCTACCTGCCTTTAATCCGTAGTGCTGTGGTCTGACTGAGGTGCAACAATTATCTGACAGAAGAGGTTGCCTTCATAAGCCCTAAACTGAAACTACCCTTGGGTCAGAAGTTCAAAGAGAAACACAGGCACGTTAGCCACCCCACACTCTTCTGGAGCAGTGACTTCAGATCAAGAACCTATCATCACCTCAGGAATGAAAAACTCTACCACAGCAATGTCCGTAAAGAAGCAGGCTACTCACACCTTACACAAGCACAAAGCAAGATGTCACCCCCCCAAAAGTGACACAGTATCAGTGGATTTCCTGAAACCAAAAACTCTGATGGAACTTTCTGACACAGACTTTAAAAGAACAATGATTGAATATTTTCAATGGGTGATACAAACTTGAAGAATTATAGGACACTGCAAGTAAAAACCAGAAGAAGCTTTAAAAAAAAAAAAATCCAAAACAGTGCCGATAAAACAAATGAGGCATTAGACTCTCTGGAAAAACAAGGAACCATGATCCAAAATAAGAGATCCACTGTTTCAGATGCTGGAAACATGATGGAGTTGAAGAAATGGAGCACAGAACCAGTGAAATAGAGGATAGAATTGTCACCACTGATCTGCTAGAGCAAAGAACATAATCAAAATTTGGAATCCCAGAACAGGAAGAAGCAAGTAAAGGCACCAAAAAAGTTGTGGAAGAATTACTAGACAAAAACTTCCCAGGCATAATGAATGAGAGAATATATATTAAACAAGCTGAGCAAACACTATATAGAATACACCCCAAAAGAAAAACACCAAGGTATATATATCATAGTCAGATTTCCCAGAACCAAAGATGAGAGAATTCTGAAAGCACTGAGGGAGAAACAAAGAGTAGCCTATAAGGGAGAGCAGATAAGAGTAAGTGATGATTTCTCAGCAGAAACCATGCGAGCAAGAAGACAGTGGAAGGACATATATCAAACACTCAACACAACTGTCAACCAAGAATATTGTACCCAGCAACACTGTCCATCTATTATGAAGAAGAAATCAAGATATTCCCAGAAAAAAAAACAACTTAATGGGAGTTTGTAAATATAAGACCAGTGTTGCTGGAAACACTGAGAGACATCATTCTAGCAGAGGTGCCAAAGAAAACAGGATGGACCAAAGTGACTAAACAACAAAACCAAAAAGAACAAAATGATAGCATTAAAACCTTGCCTCTCAATAATCACATTAATGTGAATGGTTAAAACACACCACTGAAAAGAAAAAGAGTAGCCAATTGGATTTTAAAAAAAATCCAGTTTGCTATTTACAGGAGACATACTTGAAAAAGGAATATAAAGAAAGACTAAACGCACTACCTTTGAGCCCCCGGCGCGCCTGCCCATGGTGCCGGGGGTTACGCTGCTGCGCAAGAGCATGAGTTCGCACATAACTGGGGCCCCAGCCCGCTGCAGGCACCCCTTTTAACCACGAGTGACACAGTGGCGGACCAGGCCTCTGCCGGGGTTCGCCTCTTGGGTCTCAATTCTTAGGATGATCCCTTTGGGAACGGATAGTAGGCTCCTCTACTAATTGCGTTTCCTGTGTGTGCTGTAATCTAATAAACTTTAGGTGTTATTTAAAAAAAAAAAAGACTAAAAATAAAAGAGGGGGGAGGAATATACCAAGCAAATGGCAACCAGAAAAAAAAGCAGTAATAGAGATGTTAATCTTTGATTCTTTGACGAAATAAATTTCAAAGCAAAAACCATCCAAAAGGACCAGCAAGGTCACTACATAATGCTTGAAGGGTCAATAGAACAAGAAGACATAACAATAATAAATATCTATGCAACAAATGATATACCTGCAAAATATATAAAACAAATGTTAACAAAACTGAAAAAGTAAATAGACATCACCACTATAGTAGTTGCAGACCTCAATACACCACTCTCAAGAAAAGGTAAAACTACCATAAAGAAACCCATCAAAGATGCTAAAGAATTAAACCACACAATAAACCAACTCAATCTCATAGATACTTACAGGCTAATGCACCCCAAAAAAAAAAAAAAAAATACAGTATACCTTCTTCTCCAATGTGAATGGAACATTCTCCAGAATAGATCACATTTTAGGTCACAAGGCAATCATCAATAAATTAAAAGACATAGAAATAATGCAAACCATCTTTTCAGACCACATTGCCACAAAATTAGAAATTAAAAGGATTAGGAGAAAAACCCATATATTGAAGGCTGAACAACACCTTGCTTGAACATGAATGGCAACTAGAAGAAATAAAAATTGAAATTTAAAATTTCTTGAAACAACAATGAAAATACCTCTTAACAAAACCCTGGGAGACAGCCAAAGCGGTAATTGGAGGTCAATTTATAGCAGTAAGCAAACAAATTGAAAGGCAGGAAAAAATGACCATTGACTCTCTAAC